CACCCCTCCCTATCTCTATCATCTCCTCCAGCAGTCTACACCGCTCCCTATCTCTGTATACCCCTCTAGCCCACATAACCCTCCCTATCTCTACCCTCCTCCAACCCTTACATGCTCACCTCATCTCTGTAACCTCCTCCAGACCCTATACCCCTCCCTATCTCTGAAACTTCCACTATAGCCTACCCCCATCACTATCTGTTACCTCGTCAAGCCCCTACACCCGTCCCTATCTCTGTAACCTCCTCCATCCCCTACGCCCCTCCCTATCTCTGTAACCTCCTCCAGCCCCTATGTCTTTCCCTAACTCTCGAACTTCCTCCAGCCCTTACGCATCCACCCCATCTCTGTATCCTCATCCAGCCCGTACACCTTCCCTATCTCTGTTACCTCCTCCAGACCCTACATCCCTCGCAATCTCTGTTACATCCTCCAGTCCCAACACTCCTCCCTGTCACTGTAACCTCCTCTAGCTCTCACCCCTCCTCCGTATCTCTGTAACCTCCTCCATTCCCCTACACCCCTCCCTATATCTGTAACCCTCTCCATCCCCGACAACGCTCCCTATCACTAACCTCCACCAGCCCTGACACCCCTCCCTATCTCTGTTAACTCCTCCAACCCCAAAACTACTCCTGATCTCTGTAACCTCCTATAGCACCTACACTCCTCCTTATCTCTGTAACCACCTCCAGCCCCTTCACCCCTCCCTAACTTTGTTATCTCCTCCATCCCCCTACACCTCTCCCGAAATCTGTAACCTCCTCCATTCCCTAAAACGCTCCCTATCTCTGTAACCTCCTCCAGCCCTGACACCGCTCCCTACCTGTGTAACCTACTCCAGCCCCTACACCACACCCTATCCCTGTAAACTCCTCCAGTGCCCTACACCCCTCCCTATCACCGTAACCTCCTCCAGCCCCTTCATCGCTCCCTATCACTGTAACCTCCAACAGCCCTGACACCCCTCCCTATCTGTGTAACCTACTCCAGCCCCCTACTACCCTCCCTATCTCTGTAACCTCCTCCAGCACCTTACACCGCTCCCTATTTCCGTCACCTCCTCTAGCCCCTACACCCCCTCCCTATCTCTGTAACCTCCTCCAGCCTCTACATCCCCTCCCTAACTGTGTAACCTTCTCCAGCACCCTACACCGCTCCCTATCTCTGTACCCTCCTCCGGCCCTTACATGCCCATCTCATCTCTGTAACCTCTTACAGCCCCACCCCTCCCTATCTCTGTTACCTCTTCCAGCCGCTACACCCCTCCCTATCTTTGCAACCTCCTCCAGCCCCTACATCCCTCGTTATCTCTGTAACATCCTCCAGCACGCTACACTACTCCCTATCTCTGTAACCTCCTACAGCCCCGACACCCCTCCCTATCTTTGTCACCTCCTCCAGCACCTATATCTCTCTCTAACGCTATAACCTCCTCCAGCCCTTATATCCCACCCCATCTCTGTATCCTCAACCAGCCCATATACCTTCCCTATTTCTGTTACCTCCTCCAACCCACTACGCCCCCTCCCTATGTCTATTACCTCCTCCCGCTCCTCCACCCCTCCCTATCTCTGTTAACTCCTCCAACCCCAAAACTGCTCCCTATCTCCGTAACCTCCTATAGCACCTACATTCCTCCTTATCTCTGTAACCACCTCCAGCCCCTACACCCCTCCCTATCTTTGGTATCTCCTCCAGACCCTACACCCCTCCTTATCTCTGTAACCACCTCCAGCCCCTACACCCCTCCCTATCTTTGGTATCTCCTCCAGACCCTACACCCCTCCCTATCGCTGTAACCTCCTCTAGCCCTGAACCCCATCCCTGTTTTTGTAACCTCCTCCATCCCCCTACACCCCTCCCGATATCTGTAACCCCCTTCATCCCCTACAACGCTCCCTATCTCTGTAACCTCCTCCAGCCCCGACACCCCTCCCTACCTGTGTAACCTATTTCAGCCCCTACACCCCTCCCTATCTCTGTAACTTCCACTATAGCCTATACTCCTCCCTACCTCTGGTACCACCTCTAGCCCCTACACCTCTCCCTATCTCGGTAACATCTCCAGCCCCCCACATCACTCCCTACCTCTGTAACCTCCTCCAGGCCCCTACACACCCTCCCTATCTTTGTTACCTTCTCTGGCCCCCTACACCCCCTCCCTATCTTTGTAACCTCCTGCAGCCGCTATACACCACCCCCATCTCTGTCACCATCTCCAGCCCTTACACCCCCTCCCTATCGCTGTTGCCTCCTCCAGCCCCCTACACCCCTCCCTATCTCTGTTACCCCTCGTGCCCTCTACACCCCTCCATATCTGTTTCCTCTTCCAGCCCCTACACCCCTACCTATATCTGTAACCTCCTCCAGCCCCTACACTCCTTACTATCTCTGTAACCTCCTACAGCCCCCTACTATTCTCCCTATATCTCTCCCTGTAACATCCTCCAGACCCCTACACTGCTCCCTATCTCTGTAACCTCCTACAGCCCCTACACCCTTCCCTATCTTTGTCACCTCCTCCAGCCCTTGCAACGCCACCCCATCTCTGTATCCTCATCCAGCCCCTACACTTTCCCTATCTCTGTAACGTCCTCCAGGCCCTACACCTCTTCCCATCTCTGTAACCTCCTCCAGCCCCTACACCCCTCCCTATCTCTGTAACCTTCTCCTGCCCCCTACACCCCTCCCTATCACTGTAACCTCCTCCAGCACCCATATCTTGCCCTAAATCTATAACCTCCTCCTCCCCTTACACCCCCACCTCATCTCTGTAACCTCCTCCTGCCCCAATAAACCCCCTTCCTATCTCTGTTACCTCCTCCAGCCCCCTACACCCCCTCCGTATCTCTCTGTAACCTCCTCCAGCCCCCTACATGCCCTCCCTATCTGTTATCCCCTGCTGCCCTCTACACCCTCGCCCATCTATGTTACCTCCTCCAGCCACTACACCCTATCATTATCTCAGTAACCTCCTCCAGCCTCGACACGCCCTCCCTATCTCTGTTACCTCCTGCAGCCCCTACTTCCCTACCTATCTCTGTAATGTCCTCATTCAGCCCCTACACTCCTTCATATCTCTGTTTCCTCTTCTAGCCCCTACACCCCTCCCTATCTCTGTAACCTCCTACAGCCCCTACACCCCTCCCTATCTTTGTCACTTCCTCCAGCCCCTACTCCCCTCCCTATCTCTGTAACCTCCTCCAGCCCCTACATCCCTCCCTATCTCTGTAACCTCCTCCAGCCCCTACATCCCTCCCTATCTCTGTAACCTCCTCTAGCCCTGACACCCCTCCCTATCTCTGTAACCTCCTCCAAACCCCTTCACCCCTCCCTATATCTGTACACCCCTCCATCCCCCACAACGCTCCCTATCTCTGTAACCTCCTCTAGCCCCGACACCTCTCCCTATCTCTGCAACCTCCTCCAGCCCCTACACCCCTCCCTATCTCTGTAACCTCCCCTACTACTCTCCCTATCCCTGTAACCTCCTCCAGCCCCTACACCCCTCCCTATCTCTGTAACTTTCTCCAGCCCCTACACCCCTCCCTAT